CTTGAAAATAGTGGGTATGTTGTTTCATTGCTTAGATGGCTTTAGAATATTGTAGCAGCTATTTCTGAACTCTGAATACTGAACTTGAGTTACAAATGCAGGTTTGAAGTAGACATTTACTCTTATGACCTGTAAAATGTTTTATTTTTATGGCAATAGAAAACTGGGGCTACCTCCATTTGACTTATACCAATTTGTTGTATAACAAAGATTTCTAAGTTAAGAAAAATATCTCTGGTATAAATTATGCATAAATACTACCAAATTTTCATCTGGAAAATAAAAACATGGAGGTACTTAGTGTATGTTTTTCTTAAAATATTTTCACATTCTGATTTTTTTTTTCTCCTTCACTTATCAGGGAGACAGGACGGAGGAAAAAGGAATTCCACCATCACAAGGAACTTCAGCAGAAATACCATTCTGTGAGGACTGAAAGACTCAAGGACCTGCAAAATGAAAAACCAGTTTCCTATATATATGAATATATAATTCAAAATGGATAGTAAGAGACTTAATGATTTTTGGCTATTGTGGGGATATGGGGGAGGCAGCGCTATACTGGATTGGTCTCTTAAATGCAGTCACTAAACATGTATAGATACTGAATCCAACAACAAAGTACTTTATTTTGGTTATTGATAGGTTTTAGAAAACACACAACTTAGAAACATTAAAAGATAAAAACAAAATGGAATAAAGGATGAAGGTGAACATAGCAGCCAACAGAAGTCAAAACTTTCATCATTCAGGTAAATCACTTTGAACCCTGAGCTACTCACACTAAAGCATCCGTGTGGAGACCATCATAAATATATCCAGAACAGATAAATAGGAGGGTTAGTGCTTACTGCTATTACTAAGCTTGGAGAAAATTTAATTTAATTTTAATTAAGTCTAGTAAGAGTTTGTTGACTCCTGATGGCTGTTAAGCAGATTTGACATTGAAAGAGTGCATCAGCTAAAAAATGATTGGGATAAAAAGCCATTAAGATCTGGGTATTACACCAGAGAGGCAGCAAGGAAACCTCTTCTACAAGAGAAAGTCAGTACTCTGAAGAAATTTTTACCAAAGTGTCCAGCCATTTGCAGAAAGGCAGCTAGCGTTGTAGACAGGCAAACTCAACCAGAAAAGAAAAAACAGTCAAGAAGCCCAAGCATTGAGATAATTTATTAAGGGAAAGTCACTGATACAACACGGTGTGACAAAAAAAAACAACACAAAAAAGAATTAAGTCTGATAAAAATCCTACCAATTCCTCTCATTATCTTGTGTTGTAATTGCAATTGACAGTAATAATGATAGAATGGCACCACAGAAACTGAACCTTTCAACTAGTTACTAACAGATGATCTTTGTTTTTACATCTGGCACATATGAGTGGCTTGAATGTCAAACTCAAAACTCAAGTTTGAATGTCCTTATTCTTGTGATTCCCCTTTTCCCAAGCACAACAGTTTCGATTATTGTTTACAATTGTTTTTAACTTTTGTTAAGCCCCCTCACCCCCGCAAGTCATATGCAAGTGGGCAGGTATACAAATTAAAATTCTAGATCAAAAATAGAAATCCATTAAATTCATTGAAAGGCCTACTTTCAACATCAACACTGCACATTTTTCCAGTCAGCTAAATGTCAGAATCTGAGGACAGCTGAACAAGCTCAGGAGTTCTCTCAGCTAAGGGCTTGACATAGTCAACAATAACACAGTTGTCTGAAGAATCACAGCTGTCGCTATTCACCTCTATATTTGCTTGTTCTGACACCTGCAACTCAGTTATATTCGCAGAAGGGTCTTCATCAGAGCTTTCAGAAGTGTCTAGAGCAGTAGATGCAGAAGCACGAATCTGCTCTAAATTGGAACAAGACAGGCCAGGTGTTTTGTCATCGCAAGGTGACTGGCCTGTATCACTTCTGAAAGCATTAACTTCTGGTGCCTGGGTTTCAGTCTCATTTGGAGAGATGGTAATAATAGAAGACTCAGAGTTGCTTCCGTCTTCACATGATGGAGCCGGACAGTCATAATTTACATGCTCGTCATATGCGTCTATGTTAAAAGGAAATGGAGCAAAGTCGATAAATTCATGTAAGAAGTGTTCTGTACTTTGGAATAAGAAAGGTTGTAATTAGCAAATGCCTGGCTTTCTAGATCAAACTTGATCAAAGTATTCATTATTATACATTGTACAATATTAGCGATACATGAATTCCAAACAGAACTGTAAGCTCACGTTTTAACCATGTGTAAGATTTTCCATTTAGCCTCACAATTGCCTCAGCATTACTCAGGAATTTAAAAGAGCCAAAGAAACTCCTGAGTCGAGGTTTCAGCAAGCAAACAACTTTATATTTTGATCAAAATAGAGTTGGGTGACCCCATCTCTCTTCGTGGCTGGTAGAGAGATGAAGGCAACAACCAGAAAATATGTCTTCCACCTTTTATACCTTTCCAGAACAAAAAGATCAGGTCTTGGTACTAGGCATAAGATGGCACAAAAAAATAATTCCTAGATCAGTGATGGCGAACCTTTTAGAGACCGAGTGCCCAAACTGCAACCCAAAACCCACTTATGCATCGTCAGGTGCCGGGTGGGCATGGCCCATTGGGTGGGCGTGGCCCATTGGGTGGACGTGGCTGCGGTGGTAACAGCAGACTGGGTGGGACTAAAAAGTTCAATCAATCAATTCCAACTTTGCAAGATCTTTTTTTTCCCCGCAAGAAGTTGAAATTGACTGATTGATTGAACCTTTTTCTTTTTTTGCACACGGCGGCGGAGGCCAAAGCGAAAAGGTTTTATAAAACCCAGCTGAAGGCCTAGGACTGGGGCAACGGCGCGCATGCCCACAGAGAGCACTCTGAGTGCCGCCTCTGGCACCCGTGCCATAGGTTCGCCACCACTGTCCTAGATGATGACTCACACACAGCAACCCAGGCTCCATCTGTAACTCTTTTCCCCCCTCCCCTTACTGTGTTCTTTTCATATAAGCAATCACCTACCTAAAGCATGAAGCCCTTACTTTTCCAATATATATATATAAAGCATCTGATCAAGCAATTAACTACAAAATAATGATTACAAAACAATGATTACATGATAACACTATAAGTATCAATATAAAATGGTTACTATATATAAAA